ACTGTACCTGAGGATGAAATGATCTATCTCAGAAAACTAAATGCAAGCAAGTGCCCTGTAGGAACCCTTAACACCACAGAATCCCATAGGACTTTTCTCAACATCACAAGCAGGCTTAAGGATACACACGGCTATTTTGAATTTTGTGTTTGTTCTTCATGCTCTCCTTTCTTTCTGATTCAAGGACCAGCCTCCTCCGTGAGGGCTAACCTCTCCAAGGTGCTTGTTCCTGCCCAAACAGAAACAAGTCCCAGACTTTAAATGCTGAACTAACCACTAACTGGAATTCTCCATCTATGAAAATAGGCAACATGGTCTCCACCTTCCTTAAATCTTGGTTAGGGCTGTTCACATTAGGCAGTGACATGTGGGCACACCTGTCCTCCACAACCTCAGGTCTCTGTTCACTTCTCTTTTAGAAACACAGAGAACTAGACAAGCCATCCGCCAGCTGTTAGCATATACAAAGGCCACACACAGAGAGGGCACCATGTAGCTAGGGCAAGGACAGTTAATTCTGAAGGGCATCAGATAACCAGGTGACCTCCCTTACCCACAAAGTGTCCATGTACACATAAAAGAACACGTGGGAAAGTATCTTTAAGGATATAGGGGATAGTATTTATTTTAGCATAACTTATGCTTAGCAGGGTACTTTCTGCTGTCTGTTACTATGGAGTTTAGCTACAAGCTGTGGAATTGGTGTGGCTCTTTGGTGCTCGGTATCCTCTTTTCGCTCTGCTTTTAACCTAATGACACTCATTTAATAGACTGGGTCATAAAACAGCTCTTGATGAAAAACATCTATCAGTGCAGAAGCTGTCACTTCAGGACAGATAATGTTATGTGCCATGTTCTAGAGAACAGATGTTAAAGATGGTTGACTACAAGGAAGAGAACTGGCAACCAGCCTTTACAGGAACAACAGAAATCTAAATTTTCTCTTCAAAGTGACCATTACAGAGCCCAGCATACTCAACTGTACACTCATGTGTGCTTGTGTACAGTGTATGTGTATACATGCATGCATGTATGTCCTATGAACAAGATAAGAACAACAAAAGCACTGGCTCAGAGTTATTGGTTTTATTAGTTACTAGTTTTCCATCAAATGGTCTACAATGGCACTTTCTCCTGGCCACTGAGCAACAGGAACCCTGCCTTATCAGAACACCTTTATAATCTGACACCAAGCAAATGGCCCACCTACATTCTCTTTCTCTCCTCCCCCACCACCTCTAACACTTTTAACCACTGTCTCAATAAATACTACCAACAAAGCAACCCACACACACCTCTCTTTCAATTCCAGAATACATATGCCTGAATTGTATACCCAAAAAAAAAACCCTGAAATACACTGTGGGGCCACATAACACAGGCAACAGATGGGAAAGAGTCCCCTCCTACAAGTCATGCTAGCTACAGGCAACAGTGGAGTTATTACTCTACCTTAGTATCTACTATCTATAAATGTCCTTGGCACTTTGATCTTGGTGACCAGAGAAAAACTGAACACAAATCTATGAATATTCTGGAAGGAAAACAAGTGAGTTAAATTAATGCAACCCTGTCGCCCAGCAATGACACCATCATTTTAACCACAATGACAGGTTCATGCCAGTGAGGAAACTACATAAAGCACGAAGCAGAAACACAGCCAATCAACTACATCCTTACTGTCATTTCATGGTGGATGAAAAGCCCATCAGGAGAGGACAAGAGGAAGCAGCAGAAGGAAAAGAATGGATGGTGTGCTGCTTGTCCAAGGGGGAAAGCGCCGGGTTCCTCTCTTGCTTGGTCCAACATTTACCCAGTAAATATCAGCCTTTATGTTGGAGTCAAGTGGTCTCTAAAGTCTAAATCTATAAAATAATGCTTATAAAAACAATGTAGCATCAAAGTATTTACAGATACATCAGCTTAACATGATTAAATGCTACACATGATGCCGACTGAAAGCCATGCTTCAGTAAAGGGAATAATAGTTGTATTTGCTGAATAAATGTAATAATAATTAATAATAATTTTCCTTGGAAACAGCAACAGTGGATTCAGGGACACATTAAACAGGTGAATGGAAAGAAAAGCTAACGGAGGAAAGGTAACAGCCTCACTAGGGGTGCCATGGCCCTGCTGTTAGGGGTAAATTCCTGTTGACTATGCTATATTCTTTCCACAAAGAGTGGGGAAAAGAAATAAGAGGTAGGCACAAATCTCACTGAGTCAAAACTACCTGTAAAATTATAAGACAGAATTATTTAATTATATTTTATTATATTAATATTATTATTGTCATTGCATTACTTTTACATATACATAATGCTTTTGGGGAGTTTAATTTCTACCTTGTGTTATTACTATCATCATTTGTAGGACATTATCAATAATAACAAATGGCTAAGAAATTCCAATATGTGCAGCCCAAACAGTGCTCTAAGAGCAGGCACACTCTGACTTGCCTTGGACTGACCTACTGAATTAGCCATTTTTTCACTGTCCCCAACACCAGGCTGTCCACCTCTTGTGCCACACAGGCTCTCTGCTCCCACCAGCTGACTTCATGCTCGAAGCAGAATTCACTGCGTCTTCCTGGAGCTGCTGAGGCCAACTGACTTACTTGAATTATGGAGCTTAATTATGGAAGCTGACTAAATGAACATAAAATAAAAATACCGTTTCTATGAAAACTAAACTGGTGGCTATAGGAAGACTTTCTAGAGGCAAGTCACCAAGAAGAAAGCTGTGGGTTAGAAATGGCATAACAGCTGGGAAAATGAGAGGGAATTACAAACAGACTCTGTGCTGGAGGACAGCAAGGCACTTGTACCTACAAGAGCAACTGTCTATTTGTGTCGTAAATTATCTCAGGTGTATTTTTAAGAATTCCCTGCTTTAACTGGTGTTTTCACTTAAGCAGTGGTACTTATACTGGTTGGAACCATGGTGTTTTCTGTGCTCCAACCCACCCACTGCTGGATTGGGGCTTCTGAGTTTATGAGATTCTATGAATCAGTTAGACTACTCACTTTGGACTCTAGGCATTCAAATTCAGATCCCATACCTTTGAAAGATAAAAATACTTAACAGAAGGTTCCCTTTTCTTTCATATTTCATAAAAGAGATGAAGGAAGACTGATGATGAACATGGCTGTCCCTCACAGAACAAAGGAGTTCCACCATAGCCTATCACCTAAGCCCAGGACTCTCCTCTGGAAAACATGATTAACAACATATCATCTCCCTCATGGGCATTAAGAGTTAGAAATAAAACTGTCATATCAAAAGCTTAGCACAGAGCCTGATTCACAAGTGATGAAAACTGTTCATGCCGAATAGTATTAATGCATTGCCCAGTGAGAAGAAATACTAGTGTACAACTAAGATCAAGTATGCTCACTTATATGTCAGACTCAAAGTCAGTGTCGATGACAGGTGGAACAAGATGGCTTCTCAAGAGGCGTGAACAGCTCAGAAAAGTTTAGACAACTTCTGAGGCAATATAGACCAGAAGTTCTTGATTAGAGGCAATTTACCCCCAAAAGCATTTGGTAATACTGGATGTATTTTAGTCTGTGTTCACCGGTGGGGAGGGGCACAGAGAAAACCTACTGGCTGCTAGGAAGTGGTGGCCAAGGGTGCTAACCTTACAGGGTGCAGGACATTGTCCCCTAAATGCAAAGTGTGTGAATCTGAGAAGCCCTAACCCTAACATGCAGAAGAAAGACCATTTCTAAAATCCAATTCAAGACAGTAACTTTGAAAGTAAAACTGGGATTTCCATTATATTGATTCCAGAAGGCATGCTGCAGTTACTCAGGAATAAGAGAGATGGGTGTTTACTGATGAGACACAATTCTTTTTATCAGTAAACCTTCAATGGTGTCTATCCTACAACAAGCTTAACAACATTTGAGTGTCTAGAGTGAGCATCTCATAAAGCTGGAAGAATTCTGCATCTGAGACTAAACTTCACTCAGGGGAAGGAATCTAAGTAACATTTCAAACACTACAACTGTAGTCGGCAATCACAACCTCTTGGAGAAGTGGAAAAAGCGGGAAGTCCCCAGCACAGGTATCTTCACCCAGCTGCAGGGAATGCTGATGACCGGGGGACCTCAGTGTACGTGACCATCATGCTTCTAGACTGGGTGCCTGGATGACAGGCGCAGTCCTCAATTTTAATGCTGTTCAAAAACACTAGAAAACTGATAAAATAGTATAAATTTTTCAAAAATTATCCTGCCTTTCTTCAAAGTACAAAATAAGACTATACGATGTCAGAAGTGCACATGCACACACAGATACTCACACACAGACACACACACACAGGCACACACACACACAGACAGACACACACACACACACACACACACACTTTTCGCCTGCCACCTCCAAGAAAGACTAGAAAAGAAACCACCAGCATATTAAGGGTTAAGGGTACATCTCCACCTTTAGTCCTTTTCTACTCAAACTGAAGACCTACACTCAAGTCTTGCCTGAGACTCACTGACAGTGAGACTTTAATCACATGATAAAATTTGTTTTTTACCAGAGGTCCTGCAAAAAGGACAGAAATTTATTATAACTTTGATAAAAAGACTCTGGAGGTAATGAAAAGTGCTAAAAAATGAAGTATTAAAACTGTCATATAATTTTTTTTAAAAAGCTATATCTAACAGTTTCAACTTTACATATATATCCCTAAAGTTGACATAGCAAATCAACAAAATAGAATATAATTCCACTCACTAAATCAAACAAATTTTAACTTAAAAAAAACCCTAGTATTTAATTTATAAGACATTTCAATATCCAAATAGGGAAAAAACTACCCCTAAAATGCAAAGAACTAAGTCACAACAAAAAGCTATGGAGACATTTTAGCCATTAAGACAAAGAATCCATGCACATCTCAAGTCACATAGCTAAAACAGTATACATACTCGGTCACTTTCTTCTGAGTAGAGCAAAATAAAAAAAATGAAACATGTACTCACCCTTCTGGTAGAAGAATTTCCTGTAATAGTATGCGCCGAGATCCACATGTTCCACGGTGTACCTTTTCACCCTGTCTAGGTGCAGCATCAAGCCTTCCTTGGGCACTTCGAGAACCGCCACTCCCGCATTCGTACAATGAGAGCTGAGGGTGGACTCAAAGGAGGCACTTTCACACCCACTGAAGGAGCCAGAATTTGACTTGGACAGGCTGATCTTCCTCTCGCCTTCTCCACCAATCTCATTCCGAAAATACGGACAGCTCAGGACCAGTTCGTTGCTTTTGTCATCTCCTTGGTCCATGCCAAGGCTTCCTTTGGAATTCAGGTCCTCTGTGCTGCCCATGGGAGAGCTGAAGCTGGCTGAGTGAGACAATGGTCCGGAGACCAGGGAAGCCACAGCAGCCGCTGATGCTCCTGTGGTTGTGTTTCTCCTCTTAATCACATTGTGCCTGTTCACAATGGCTTCATTCAAGTCAAACAATATACTCTGGACATCATAGTGGGCAAAGCACTTTGGACACGTCCAGGGCCTCACAGAGTCTTCTGATCTGTTGTCTTCAAGGTCCGACGACTTACCAAGTTCTTCACCTTTGGCATTTCGTAACTTACGAAAAATAGAGGAGTCTCCAGTTTCAGACTTAGAACGTCGCTTGAGTGGTTTTTCCCTTTCCTTGAAAAGCCTGAGGTTCTCTCTCTGTGAGATGGGCCCATCGATCACATCCAAGGAGAAACCAGAACCCTTGCCCCCACCAGTGATGAGGAAGTCACTGAGTTTGGTTGGAGTTGGACCTCGGTCAGATCTGTCATCTTTATAGCCCTTTAACAAATCGAAGAAGCTTTCTCCGGATGTTCCCTGCTTGTCGATTGAAGATGTGCTACCGTATTCCCTGTGCAATGATGGCCCCGACTTGTAGGTCGGGGAGATACATTCATCAAAGCTATCCACATCAAGCTCACTTATGGTGATATCGCTGTTGCTGCGCTGCCGGATTCTGCGAAGGGCTTTCCTGGGGGAACTGGGGTAGGCTTCGGGCATGAGGAATCTGGAGTCCATGTTCTCCGCTGGCCCCGTCTTGTTCTTCAGGGTGTTCTGTATGCTCTTCAGCATGGCTGAGTCATTGGAATTGAGGCTAACAGAACTTCCCTGACTCACAGGACTGCCTTTGGAAGACAGGCTCTCAAGGCAACTTGAGGTTTCTATTTCCTGGCTTGAACGGCTGGATTCTTTGACATTTTCCTTTCTCGGAGGCCAATCTGCAATTCTTGCCCTAACCCCCATCTTAGGGACCCCGGGGGTGGAGGTTATATGGTGAGGACCTTCACTTCTAGGGGGCCCTACTGCAGCCATGACTGATGATCCTAAGCTGCCATTTTGGGACCGGAAGCGACGCATATAGAAGTCATCAGTGTGAACTTTGGGGGTGCCGTCTGTGCTGACAACAGAGGCTCTGTCAGTAGTGACAGGCCTTTCCGTCTGTGACCGCTTCAAGCTGGTCATGATGTAGAAAGCAAGCACTTAAATTCCTGCAGAAAGGCCCGCCATGTCTGTGTCTGAAAGTGCACTTCTGCTTCAGAGGACGGCTTCCAGGAAATACAGCAGTCGTGTCAAGATCTTAAGCCTTTTCATTTAAAAGGTTAAATGATGCCTTGTTTTCAGACCACTGAGAACCCAGATCTCCCACACATTGTAATCCACAACAGTTTCTGGGCTTCACTTGAACAGAAGGCTTCCTTCAGAGAACACTAAAGAGAACTTGCATCACTGGGACTCTGTGGTCGCCATAATCCTGCTCCCCCTAGAGAGAGGAAGACAACTTCAATTAGCATTGAAAAACACACTTAAAATAAGCATGCAACTGCTAGAATCAGACACTCGGACAGGAGACTCAATATTGCACTGCGGTCAGCTTCAAAATTCACATTTTTAATAAAGCAAATACGAAGGAAAAAAGTAAAAACAGTTAATAAAACCCCTCAATTCCATTGAAAGAAGGGCTATGAATACTTGAGGTTAGTTGAATTGTTTCATAAAACTGGGAGGGGTACCAGCTTGTTCTAGAGTATCCAGGCTCCTGACTGCAGGCACAGACTTTTGCTTCCATGATCTCTAATAATGCAGCCATCATGCCACTGTGCTGACCAGAAGTTTGAGACAAAACCAACCTAACCAGATAATCAGAGCAATGCAAGGCAGCCCTCTGAGAATGCTAACAATTCAACATGATTTTCATTATGTTACAACTCACTTTTTAAATTCCTTTTATATTTCAAACAGATAATTATTTCCTGACAAAAGCTTACCAGATTTGGCAAGAGCAAATCTACCCACAGCATAGAGAAAACAAGCGGCGTTTCCTGGAGCCATCATACCCACCAGCATGCTTCCGTATTTTCCTCCACTTTCTTACTTACCCACATGAAGAACACTGCAGAAGGAGTCCGGCACTCACTCCACCTTTTCCCAAGTTCTCCTTACTTTCATCTACTCTCAGAGCTGGAAGTCTTTCGCTAATTCACAAAATGCCTGCACATTTCCTTAAGCAACGCAGCCTCCTCCACCCCATCAGTGCTAATTTATGACGACGACAGAAACAAAATGCTGCTCGGGGCAGCCTGCTCCATGTTCTCCACCAGATTACAGAGAACTGTTACCATCCTTCCAGGTGACCTGCAGGAAGACGAACTTCCCCATGAGCTCATCAGGCAGGAGACAGCAGGCACAGAGTCTGAGCACAGAAGCCTGTTCGGGTGCGTACATCCTGAAGAGAGGCAAAGGATCCTTTTCCAGCATTCCGCAAATTACACAAGAGGTGGCCTTTAAATTCTTGCCAGATACATGTTTGGAAAGACGCTGCTGAACCAGCACTGAGCTGACAGGGCGGCATTGTCTACAAATCACGCTCTGACACTGAGGAGGACCGCACACTGCATGCTGCACTCAATGGTAACAAGCACTTACTTCCACGATAATTAAGCATCTCGCTAGTCAGCTTCCTGCCTCCAAGGCAGCGGCTTTCATTCCTCCCGCAGCACGCAGAATCAGTTTAGGAGACTCGTTGCTATTTAAAGCTGGAACATTTAGGGGTGTTTCAAAAATGCTCCCTGCCTGCAGACGGCAGGGCTCTTGCAGGGTAGGTCTGGCTAGCCGGCCGGTCAGATAAATGCCCACTGTTATCATTCACACTCCTCTGCCCATGTTTTGTGAAAGGGATAATGGTTTTGCACTTGCACAGCCCTAATTAAGCCTGGCTTTTACACTTTCTAGATACTTCTATAGCCAGACCGCTACGATTTCCTTTACATTCCAGAACTTTACATGCTGCTCTTTCCATTGCTAGCCTTTAAGGAGAACAACGTGCTAACTGTTGCTTACAGCAGCAGCCAGGCCAGCACGTGCGACCACAGCTGTGGTTCAAGAAGTACTGCTTCTAAAATGGAAGGGGAACCAGTCACCTGGACCACTGCGAGCACCTGCCCAGCTTAACACACCAACAAAGAAGGAATTCAACAAAGTAGCCCTCAGGAAATAATAAACTAGTTAAAGTAATTCTTAAAAGTCAGGTGTTTTCAGTATTCTCACAGACTTACAAAAACCCAGGTAAACCATCCTCCATTCCATTTCTAAAACATCCAACCCCAAATACCAGTCTCACCAAGATCAAAGCTCATTCTTGCCATATTTCAGTTCTTCTTAGAAAATGACTTACCACAGAACCGGCCCCTCCGCAAACCCCCCAGTTTTTGGAGGTAGAGTCTCACTCTGTAGTCCCCACAGGCCTTGAACTCACCAGGACCTTCCTACCTCAGCTTTCCAGGTGCTTAGATTACAGGCAAATGCCATCAAACCTGTTTACAAAACTGACTTTTTAAAGACAGGTGACATCATAGCCATTCTAGGAATAAACTAAAAGCTGGAACTGGGGCACAATAAATAAAACCAACTGGGAATGTCCAGCGTCCACCGTTAATAGTTTCTTTTCAATATCACTTCCCTTCTTATTGTTTAAAGATTTGTTTCTTGTGCAAACAGATGTTTTACTTATGTATATGTATATATGTGTATTTTGAGATCCCAGGGAGACATTACACTTTTTGGAATGAGAGTTACAGAGAGCTGTGAACTTCCACATGGGTGCCTGAATCAAACCCAGGTCCTCTTCTGTAACAAATGAAAGTATTCTTTTTTTTTCTTTTTTTTTTTTTCTTTTTGGTTCTTTTGAGACAGGGTTTCTCTGTATTGTTTTGGAGCCTGTCCTGGAACTTGCTCAGTAGACCAGGCTTGGTCTTGAACTCACAGAGATCCGCCTGCCTCTGCCTCCCGAGTGCTGGGATTAAAGGCGTGCACCACCACTGCCCGACAACTGAAAGTATGCTTAACCACGAAGCCATCTCTCCAGTCCTACCTCCTATGGCCTAACAGATTTTTAATATGAAAACTTCTTAGCAATTAAATCTTATTATGATTACTTTTTATTTCAAAATATAGATGAACACATGGAAGAAGAGTTTGATCAAACTTAAGAGGTGAACGACTAAGTTAAATAACAGAATTTCCAATTGTGAAGATTCCAAGCCCCCCCACCCTCCACTTTCCTGCCCCTTCTCCCTTTCCCTTCCTTCTCCGCTTCCTTCCTTACTTGCAACATTAACTTCCTTTGAGATACAATATAAATTTTGGCTGTAGGTGAGCAATATACAAATAAAGATGGACACTAAGCCACCAGCTGAAAATCAGGATATCTGTCCATGCAGATCAATAACACTGCACTCTATTCAAGAGTAGACTGAAATAGCAAACATGCTGACAGTCACTAACAATTCAAGCAAGCATCAACAGAGCTATCCAGACATTGATAGATACAGTAAGAAGCAACAGAATTAAACAAAGGAGCAGGATGACTTCACAGCATATCACTTGCATCACAAAAACATTTCCTTATCACATTTAATTTCATAGTTCTCCATACTATGTACTTCTGGTGAATCCATTTGGCTAGATTCCCAATCCCACTGACAGGGACTTCAGTCAGTCCAGCTCAGCTCTACCATTGGAAAGTCTTTTCATCACCCAGGATCTATATAATCACTGCCCTCTGTTGATCAAAACCATTCTTCCAGAAGAGACATTCCATTATCTCTAAACCATTCCCAGCATGCCCATGTTCTCTTCTAAGCATGGCTGTACAGCTGGTACCAGGAATACTTGAGGAAACGATCCTTTCCTTCAAGTCAAATTCAGGTCTAGATGAGGAAGGCAGATGGTGAAAAGATGACGTATGATACAGGCCATGACAAGATATGCATAGGCCATGTCTCCTTCCTGTACTTTCCACTCTAACTGTGAGGTCTTTCCGAACAAACTGTTTGCTGGTGGATCTTAACTGAACCACAGCAAGTCAGCCATTCAGAATTTTAAGTCCCTAGTAGTGATGAAAGTGGTCACTTGGGAGTTAAAGCTGCCATTGTTCCTTTGGCTCTGGGAGGCGTTTGCACTTTGATCCTCCCCGTTGACCACAGTGACAAGCACCTGCTCTTGCCTCTCTTTTTGCCCACCATTCCCTATCATTCTTCCCACTTGTGCATACATGTGGTGGGTACATATTCATGAGTGCACACACATGTGCAGGCGCACATGCGCATGTGTGCCTAGGAGGCCAGAGGTTGCTACTGAGTCTTCCTCAATGGCTCTCCACGTCAGTCTCCGAGACAGGGTCTCTCAGGTGAACCAGATCTTGCCTGTGTGGCTGATTTTGCTAATTTGTAATCCAGCTCTACTTTCTACATGCTGGATCTGTAAGTGGGCTGTCATGCTCACTGGGCATTTACATGGGTTCTAGGAATCCAAGTTCTAGTCTTTAGACTTGTGCGGTAGGCACCTCATCCACTAAACCACTTAGCCAGTCATTATCATTTAAAAGTTAGTGACCCCAGGGTGGTGTCCCTGATTTCCTTTTCTTACCACTGTCACACTGCTGGAGGAGGCTGCAAGGGTGTTACTAGGACGAGGAGCAGCAGGTGTTTTAGCAGGAGGCAGCAGGCACAGATGCAATAGAGTAAGAACAGGACTGCAGAGGGCAGGCGCTGGGCTGCTTGGCTCTTGCTGTGTAGGTAGTCTGTAAGGTAACAAGTATTCTGGCAATACCATAACAGACAGGGTATACGGCTGACCTCGGCTTTAACCACCTCTCTGTGTTGTTAGTTCTCAATTTCCGGCCATGACATTGTTTTCATCTGTCTATAATTTCTAAAATAAATGACTTCCAAGCAGACAAGTGAGCGAGTGGTGAAGAAGTAAGGACAACACAGAACACAGAACTCAAGGAACTAAATGAAAAGAAGAGCATGGAATGTTCTCTGCACCTAAGGCATGAAGATCAGGGAAAGGTTCCATGAGAAAATGTGGAGTGGCTGGGGTAATGGAGCCTGCAGCGTTACTGTAATGAAAGACGTGTGTTCAGTACACGGACTCGATTTTACTATCACCAATGCTACACAGTGAATAAGTGATGGTCAAATACAGCCCCGTGTTAGACAACTCATCACCAGATACAACCGAGGGACGAGTGTGAGAAATGACATGACTGGGGTGGGGACAGCCCTTACAAACCAGGGCAGGTACTCAGCAGGAAATTCAAGTTTTTCTAAGTTGTGCTCAAATCCAGTTATTTATCCACAGAAGAGTTTCATAACCACGTAAGACAGAGACATACATACTAAGTCACGACCCATGATCCTTCATGAAACCTGCAGATTTATAGACTAGAAACTACCACCACTGGCTTTATTTGAACCAACAGATTTTTTTCTTCCTTCCTTTTTTTTTTTTAAACAAAACAAAACAAAACAGGGCCTCATAAAGCTCAACCTGAACTTGAGTTATGACCCCCTCCCTTTCTTTGCCTCCATGTGCTGGGATTATAGGCATATGTCCCATCATTCGGTTCTAGAAGGCTCCTTAATTAACTTAATCCCAGACTCATCTTTCCATTGTACGTCCTGTTGAACGTAATGAAGCATAAGGCAGGCCCATGTTTCAGAAGAATGCAGGATAAGGAAACTGTACATGCCTTAAACATCTGCCATGCTTTACACACTCACTCTCCCCTGCCCCCCTCTCACTCACTCACACACACACACACACACACACACACACACACAGAGAGAGAGAGAGAGAGAGAGAGAGAGAGAGAGAGAGAGAGAGAGAGAGAGAGAGAGAGAGAGAGAGAGAGAGAGAGAAAGCTAACCAGGGGATTTATGTTTGTCTTTGGATAGACTGTAGTTTGAGGCTTAAATTTTTTTTATTTACTAAAATGAGCAAGCATTACTACCATAATCAGAACAAAACTTACTAGAAAAAAATAATTTTGTTGCTAAAAACAGTGTGATCTGGGAACTCAGGGCAATGAACCTACCTTTAAATAATAATTGTAAAACATGGCCCCATGTTAATACTCTATCATCCCAATCACCGAACAAGTCAAAATTGGACAGATCAAGTGCTTCCCTGAAGTGTCCTTATGCTTATCTTCTAATTATGATGAACTGGAAAAGGGCTAAGAGTCCAGCTGCTTTAAGAGATATTCATAGGATCTGAATAATGGCTGCACGAAGATTACTCTTTCCGCATCTACAGATGTTTCTTGTACTTCATGTTGACTTAGTCCCTTCACATTTTGCCCCCCCCAAGACTGTAGTGACCTAGGAAAATCAGGTGATGGTGGTAAGCAAACACAGGTGATCCCACTAGTTTGCCCTTCCTGGGTTCAGTCTATGTCCCACATGCATTCTGTCCTTGTCATCATCTTCCTCCTACAGAGCCTTCAGCTAAACGACATCACTGTGGCCGCAAAGAACAGCTTTCTGGAGAGCAGTACTGAGGAGCACCAGGCCGAGCAGTGTGGACTTTCCTCTCTAGGGTCGAAGGGAAAGAGA